CTTCTTGTTTTAGCATTAACTCTGCCCGTTGCCACCGCTACAGTGGAGAGAGCATTTTCAGCAATGAAAATTGTTAAACATAGATTACGCAGTAAAATGGGTGATGATTGGCTCAACGACTGTCTAGTGCCATATATTGAGAAAGAAGTATTTGATTTGGTTCCAAATGAAGTTGTAATGCAACATTACCAGAAGATGCAAAATAGAATGCAAAGCTTGTAATTTTTATTGCAATATAAGAACTTATTTAAATTTTGTTATAAATTTATTTGTTATCTTTTTATAATTTTGCCCCCCATAAGAATTTAGGCTGGTTCCGCCCCTGTCTATCACAACACTAAAGCTAATTCATGTGAGTGTGTGAATAAGCCCACCAATCCAACCCACCAGGTGTGGCAGAGATTTGAACCATTATCCTGCCTAGTATCACTCTAAGGGGCTATATGGCATTGGATTGGATTTAACTTTAGTGGGATTTAATAAATCCTATAAATTCGAATATAGTTAATCCTAATTAATTTGTTCATTATGTTTTGAAATTATGAATTATTTAATTAATACTCATATTAATGATTTAATTTAATACTTAAATATTAAACTAATTTAATGACAACTATACGACTAATAACTATAATAACCAACAAATTATAAACAGTAATTAAATTAATTTAATGATAATTAGACTACTAATTATTTAATTAAATTGAATTAGATTACTTAATAATACTTCAAATTATACTACTGATAATTTAGGCAATCTAATTAATTATTAATATTTCAATTATATTAATAATGTTAATTTAAATTAATTTATACCCATCTAGGGTTTACTTTTTCTATCTTTTCCTTGTCGCCATTTCTTCATGGCTACTTCAGTTTCCCATGCTTCGCGTGTTTTGTGTGCTTTGCACGACCTGCTTTGCCTCCTTCGAAGGCGTTGAATCGATAGTCACAACAGGAGCTTGTTGGTTGCGTAGGTAACCGCCTCCTCCATCCTTCAAGATGGGAGTTATCTCGCTCACAGACTCGTAAATCCCTGTAATATGTAAATTCTTATATCTAGTGAACGGCAGAATTTAGTAAATCCCGAATTTATAGCATAAATCTGTAAATCCGGGATTCACGCGGGATTAAGCGGGGCGCTCGAAAACTACTTAACAAGATTTACCGTTAATCCAACTTAAATTGGAGTACAAATCCGATACCAAACAACCCCTAAGGATTGAGGCATTATAATTTTTTTTCCAAAATTCTTAAGGTGAAAGGAAAGGCTTTGACCTTTGCTTTTGTCAACTAAGTAATGTGTATTAATTCGAGTTGATAGATCTGGTTGGGGTCTGACCCAAAGTTGATTTGATCCCAATACGTTGGATTTGAACCCAACCCATTTTAAATGGGTCAAAATTTTTGACTCAAACCGAACTCAACTCAAGCTCTAATTTTTTTAATCAATTTATTATATTGATAATGTAATTTCATGTGGTCAACACAACTCATATAACATGAATATGACGCATTTAACCTAGTAGCATGCTTGTCTATTTAAATAATTTAGACCAGAATCTAACTTGAATAGTAAACATATCAATTTTAAGTTGATTTTGTGTTATTCATATGAGAAGAAGTCAGGCCAAAATAATTATTTGAGTCGAGCTCATATCGGATCATTATTGACACTTCAAAGCAATGAAGCTTGTGCTACCATTTAACTGTGTGACTTGGCTTACTAACCCTACTTGCCCATATAATCACCCTTAATTATAACCAACACTTAATTCAACGTTTTCCCAAAATAAACTAAATAATTAATTTATTAATTCTTATGGGAGCCCGTATTAGAATCTTTGCGACACATATAACTTGAGTATAGTTTCATTCCAAAATAAGTTGGCATATATATAATTTGAACCAAAAACCAACCTTAGAGGAAATGTAAGGGGGTGGTTAGACATAGCATGGAGAAAATGATGGAATTGATGTTTTAAGGTGGTTGAGGGCTCAAAGGCAAATCAATAGAGGAGAGCAACCAAGGTAGCAATAATATTGTGTAATAAGTCCATATTTATGAGGCATGCCACCCTAAAAAATCTATTGAATAGATCATCTTCTCATAACTTACAGCAATTTTACAAACATATCAACAGAGACAAGCTTTGTCTAGAATGAACACACGGACTTAACCGAGACAAAACTCGATAAGAACAACAACCAATGAAAAAAAAATCCTAAACGAAACATTCCTTCAGAAGGAACAAACTAAGATGACGAAATGTAAATCCTTCAAAGATTTTTAATACCCATAGATGCTTAAAGCTGAAGCTTCTAAAAGGAAAAAAATAGGAAAAAGAAATGAGATACAAATAGTGGTGTAAGTGTTCTTCTTAAGGCCGAGGAGATGTGCACGTTATGAATGCAATAGTCAAGATTGAGCTTGACTAAACAATGGATACCGGAGAATCGATGTGAGTTTCGTGCTATAGGATACTAGAGAACTGAAGAGAAAAGGAAACCCTAGACGAAGCAATAGAAGGAGAGGGAGGAGAGCTAAGAGCATGCAAAGCGTCGTAATGAGAAATGAATAGCACGCAAGTGCTCTTGCTGTGAGAGTACTAAATCACACAAGTATGCAGACAAGCCCTAATTAGACTGCTTGGGTCATTATCGGGTTCTCAGATTAACCCGAATTCGATCCAGAATTTCAAACGGGTCAGAAATGTAGACCCAAACCCGGCCCAGTTTTTAAATGAGTTGATCATAACAAAAAAATTTCAGATCGAATTTGAATCAGATTATCATTAGGGGTGTCAATTCAGGTCGACGGGTCGAACCCGAGTTGACCCTGATCTAAACAGGTCAACCCGAACCCGACCCGTTTTTGCAAACGGGTCAGAAATTCAACCCGGACCCGACCAGGCCAGGTTGCCGGGTTGACCCTACCGGACCCGCGGGGCAAAGAACGGAGCAGTCGGAGCACGGCACGAGCGCGGTGACAACGCAGCGAGCGCGGGTTGCCGGCGAGCGCGGGAGCGACATCGAGGCTCGAGTGCGGCATGAGCGTGGCGACACCGAGGCACGAGCGCGGCGAGTCGGCGACAGCGCGGCAGTGAGCGCGGGTTCGGCAGCGCGGCAGCGAGGGCGAGTTCGGGTTCGGTAGCGAGCGAGAATAGAAATTTTTTAATTTAAACGGGTTTTCGGGTTGACCCGGCAACCCGCCGGGTCAACCCGAACCCGACCCGTTTTTCAAACGGGTCGAATCTGCGAACCCGAATCCGACCCATTTTTCAAATGGGTCGGGTCCAACCCGAATTTTCCGGGTCGGGTCAAATATTGAGAGCCCTAATTATCATGTCGTATCAATTTTTGACAGCATAATTACATCGAGACAACTCTAATATTTAAATTCGAAAGAAAAGAAAAAGACGTTAAAATTAATTTGAATTAATTGCAAATGACGTTGTATTTGATGTAAATAATGAAAGTCTAGTCTTTACACAAGTGTCTCGCGGATTAGAAGAATGAGAAGTTATGTTTCACTTTCACATCCGAGTGCTCGAGAGCTGATGCAATGCGTAGTTCAACATTGGCGCCTGTCCTATCCCACCACAAATCAACAGGCAGATTCAACGGCGTTAAGCATTCGTCCGTTTACTTGTCAATGACTTCTCTTCCTAAAAATTCAAGGAAGGAATCATAGAGATTTTTTTTTCCCCTAAGAAAATGTCTGCAGATTAAGTCAACATCAGACAGAGAGGAAAATTCCATCATGCTGAATTGCTGATACGCAGAACGATTTCCTAAACCCTAAAGCCACCACAACGCAACAGATCACATCGTTATAAATAAATACACGACAAGAGCACAACATAATTAAACAATGGCTCTTCTCCCTTTGATCTTCACCATTCTGCTCACCTCCTTGTTCCTCTTAGCCGTCGCTTTCCAAATTCTTAGCAGGCGCCGCCATCGCTTACCTCTACCACCGGGTCCGAAAGGCTGGCCGCTCCTCGGCTTTCTCCCCAAGCTCGGACCAAACCCACACCAAATTTTTCACCGCCTCTCCAAAATCCACGGCCCTCTTCTCCACCTTCGCTTCGGGGTCGTCGACGTCGTCGTCCCTTGTTCAGCCGCCGTGGCCGAAAAGCTTCTACGCAATGACATGAAGTTCATAAACCGTCCAAAGAACTCAGGTGCCGAACACGTAGCCTACAACTATCAAGACATAGGCTTTCTCCCCTACGGCCCTCGTTGGCGGATGCAGAGAAAGCTATGTGCGCTTCATCTCTTCTCCTCCAAGGCGTTGGATGACTTCCAGGATGGCCGCCGCACGGAATTCACGAGATTGGTGCGTCGGCTCGCTGCACAGAGCGTCAAGGCCAACGGGAACGAAGAGGAGGCGGTGGTGGACATTAGCAGAGAAGTGGCGGCGTGCGTCGGCAATTCGTTGTCTCTACTGCTGCTTGGGCGGAGAGTCTTCGACCACGATAGGCCGGAGGTGGAAGAAGAGCTCAGAAGTATGGTGATGGAGCTTATGGCTCTCACTGGCTCCTTCTGCATCGCTGATTTCTTGCCCGGCCTCCGCTGGTTCGACCCACAGGTATGTTAATGTTCTGTTTCATTCTCTAATTAATTAATAAATTACGTACCATAGCTTACTGATCCGTAACTGACATGTATCGTCGATTAACTGAAAATAAAGGGATTAATAGCAAGGATGAAGAAACTGAACCGCAAGTTCGACGAGTTTTTGAACATGTTCATTGCGGAGCACCGGGCGGCATTAGCAGAGACGACGGGGCCATTGATAACAAACAATGCAGTTGCCAATAAGGATTTGTTAACTGTGATGCTCAAACTTCAGGAGATCAACGTAGACGATGAGGAAGGCGCCAAGCTGACAGACATTGACATCAAAGCTTTACTCATGGTATGCATGCACGTACCTACCTCCCTTCAACTTTATCCGGAAAATTGTTCCATGTAATTACCTTTAATTAATTTGTTTGCATGCAGAGCTTGTACGCAGCTGGAAGCGACAGCAACTCCATACTCGCAGAATGGGCTTTAGCCGAGCTCATCCGTAACCCTATAATTCTTGAACGAGCCCAAGCCGAGGTTGACTCTGTAGTGGGACGAGATCGGCTCGTCTGTGAATCAGACTTGCCTAACCTTCCTCTGCTCCAAGCCATCGTAAAAGAAACCCTCCGCCTCCACCCGCCTGCTCCCATCTCCCTTCCTCGTGTCGCCGTCGAGGACTGCCAAGTCGATGGCTATCTTATACCGAGGGGCACCACTCTTCTTCTCAACATATGGGCCATCGGACGTGACCCGAGCGTGTGGCCCGACGAACCGCTGGACTTCCGTCCCGACCGATTCCTCCCGGGTGGGCTCCATGAGGGTGTGGACCTGAAAGGAAGTAGTAATTTCAGTTTATTGCCCTTCGGGACGGGAAGGAGAATGTGCGTGGGAATGAATTTGGGCCTGCGCATGCTCAGCCTCATGACGGCCACGATGGTGCACTCTTTTGACTGGTATCTACCCAATGGCCAAAACTCTGAGACTTTGGACATGGAAGAGAAGTCCAATGGGCTCTCTTTGCTGAGGGCTAAGCCGCTCCTGGCTCGACCCGTTCCCAGGCTTAGGCCGGAGGCTTACTCTAAACTCTCAACTCATACAACCACTTAAAAACTGAATGCACTTCACCTCCGTCATAAATGTTAAATATTTAATTTTACCTTTACAGTAAAATGACTCTATTTTGCTTTTTTATATTATCTTGCGGTTGCAGTTAGATTGCTCTATTTAAAAGTAGATTTCTCTGTCTCTGTCTCTCTCTCATTTTATTATGTTATATATAAGTGCATCCATCATAATAGATATCAAAATTTTATAGACTAGCCTTTTTTGTACGCAGAACCCTTTCATATTGATTGACAGATCGGTGGAAAGATATAACTACTGCGATCAACAGTGTTACCTACCAAATCATAGGTGCAAGAACGAAAAAATATTTCAAAGAATAAGAAAATTTTTCAATATAAGTTAATAACATCAATTCAAATACAATAATGAGCTAAAATGACTTTGAAGTAAACATCCGAATGCTGCAAAAATTAGACTGTTACAATGGAGGATTGGAAAAATCAAGAGAATGCAGATCTGTGAATGAGTTTTTGGGGATATAGGATGAGGATGAATTGAAGGAGATGGTACCTAATGGAAATAAGATAAAATAAAATTAAAGGATAGTTTGAACTAGTACAAAAGAGAGCAGAACAAATTGGTAAACCAAATTTAAAGCTTAAAAAAGGGGCAGGCCATATCTAGCTTAAAGGAGATTAAACAAAGTTTACCTCAGCTCGAACAGGAAAATATTACCAGCAGAACGATCAATCCACAGAGGGAAACTGTAGGGGTACTATTGATCGTGAAGATAACTTCTTCATTTGATTGCTTTTGATTGCATACATACATTGAATTGATTTTTAATCAATTGTTGAGGCTAGAAACCAAGTTCGTTCAATTTCCTCCACGATATAAAGACTAGAACTGCAAAATCTTCTTCAAGCTGTGCAAATGCACTTCTTTGGTTGAGAAGGTATTTGATAATATGCATACCCTTTGGTTACAAAATCCGTTCCATTTTACTCTTTATCTAAGAACCAAACATACATGGAATCATTTCTTGAGGGCCATGAACTTCCTAGTGGTGCTTTGCTCGATCATGGCGTCCTTGGAGATGGCCATGGCATGGATGGCTCGCTACTTCAAGCTTCTTTGTAATTCATCTACCAGCCATCCTTACAAGGAAAACAGCTTTGTTAGTTGCACTATGCTGATTTCAGACTTTACCAGTCTTAAACTTAATTCCAGGTTGCACTGAAAATTCTGCCTGATATAAAGAGATTTATGGAAATTATCAGCTTTGGATCAACTGACGTGAGGCGAATATAGAGGAATTCTGCAATGCTTTTCTCCTTGAAGCAATCCATCAGCTTCTGGTTGCAATCTGAAGGTCTCTTGATGAGGGGATCCCTCTCGTGTGAAGGGGGTCAATCACCCTTTTTTCTTTCATATTTTTATTTGTTTTCAAACACGACAGAATTTAATATAATGATTAATAATATGTAATAATACTTGTTCCGCTAAGATACAGAAGCAATCCTCTACAATGAATCCTCTAACAAAAGAATATGTCATACAAAAAAAATCATCACACAATTAAGCGGACAACGAAAATTACTTCGACCATGTTTTTTATCAACTTTTTCGGTTTTCTGAACAGTAGCAAACATTGTATTATCATCTCACCTGTTTTTCTCTTCAGGAAAAAAAAAAAAACAAAAACAAAAACAAAATGTTGCAGTTCTATTGCAGTGAGTGCACCCTAGGAGAATAGGTGATGGGGACTCAAATCATGGAAGGTTTATCAGAGGCGTGGCCGCCGATCTACGGCCACAATCGAGTCTTTGTATTTTTGATTTTTCCTATGTATTTTCTTATTTATGTTGTCGCATTTTATTTGCTTTCTTTAGTTTCCTGTTGTACCCTCTTATGAAGGGATGTCGTATGTAAGCCCAATGGGCATTTGTGACTTTTGTTTTTGAGTCCTTTGTATGACGCTTTATATAGCCCTCCTTATTTTCTTTTGAGGTTAATGAATGATTATTTGATAATTATGTTTTCTTGTTGGAGTTCTTGAGAGAGCTTGAGAGATCGGAGAGAGATCCCTTGGAGAGGGAATCGGCGCATCACCCATAAACCTAGACGAGTCGGGTTCGTGGTTCTACCTTCTATCTCCTTCTTTCTTCCTTCCTCTACCATCTCCAGAAACACTACCTCCCCCTCCACCTAGCCGCCACACTACCTACCCGAGGCCTCCTTTTTCCCCCATCAAACTCCCCAAGCCACTCCACCTAGCCGCCGCCTCCCATAAGCCAACCTCAAGCAAGCCACCGGCCGTCCCCCCTCCCAAGCCCTTACCTTCTCTTGGATTTATTTCCAATTCTAGATTGCCATAATTTTGGTTGGATTTTGAATTCAAATTCCCCTAATTTGAAATTTAAAATCTTTCCTAAAATTATAAAATCTATTTTAGGAAAGTTTCCAAAATTGAAGCTCATTCCTCTCTCTTGGAAAGATTTTCAAATCCCCTTAACTCCTCTCTTTGGCCGTAATCCCCTCATCCCCTTCTATTTAATTTCTTCCAAAAAGAATATCTCTCTTTTGGGAAACAAATTAAATCCCTACTCCCTCTACAAGCCGTCGGCTCTTCTCTCCATACCCTCCCCTCTCTCTCTCTCTCCAATCTCCCTCTCTCTACTTAACTCCCCACCAGAATTTAGGGTTAGAATTTTCCTTCTTGATTTCCCATCCTCTAATTTCTAAAAGCTGAAATTTATTTCAGATTTTGGAAGGAAACTTGCTCCTTGTCTCTTCCCTACTTCCCATTGACGAGAAACTTCTTTCTCTTCAACAATATTCAAGAATACTAACAAGTTGTGGGAAGACTTCGTCCTTTAGCATCTATGAATGGACGATCCAGAAACTGAATACGACCTATCCTACGATGAACACGGGTTTGTGTGCATCTTACATTCAATCTTCTTCGACGTCAACCCGAGGGTCGACCACACGGTGGAAGATTACATCGAGCAAACCTTGGATACCTTGGTGGAAGCTATCAAAGAGCAATTGGAGATCGTCGAGTGGAGGATCGCCACCAATCCTTGACGAAGGTTTCCTACATCCCCCTTTCTCTTATTTCTTGAGTCTAACTTTTCTCGTGGTTTGATTGTAGTCACGAAGGCCGACCGTCGCTGCTTCTGCTAAGCTTAGTAAACGTAGGATTTTAAGCGTATTCATGTGCTTGCTAATCTCATTGTTAGACTAAGAATTTTTATTGAAGCTACTATTCTTGCATGATGTTGTTTTCTAATTTATTTTGAAGTCAAATCACTGGTTATGTGATTTAGCCTAAGTGGGCGTGACCCCTCTTACGTTTTATTCCGTTGTTTTAAAAGCTTTTTGTTTTCTTCGTTATTCTCTAATCAAAAGTTGTGCAAGATGTTACAAAATCATTGCATTCACACGTAGTCCTACATCAATAGGACATCTGATTGTGAAAATATACTTCTCACAACTGAAAATTTTAAAAAATGGTAAAATATGCTGCAGCCAAATAACGTATCAACAGTATATAAAATAGAATAAAATTGTGAAAAATATCCTCAATATCTAATACATCTCAAAATAAATTTGAAGATTTTTAAATCCATAATCAAATTTAAGGATATCAAAATTTTCATTCATATTTCATAGGATAGCGTCTCCTAAAGCATAACCAAGGAAGAAATGTTGACAAGAGGGTATTCGCATAAATAAACAATACCGATTACATTCCGACGCACTGTATTAAGAGGTTATCCAAGGCAAGATATCAGAAGCTAGCTAGAACATACCAGAAGTTCTCATGTTCACACCATCTGCAAGATTTAATCTGCTAAGGGTGGGTTAAGTTTGACAATATCTAGCATCAGTTCCTTCTTCCTGCTGATATCGGGTTTCTTTCCATTACACTTCTTACTCGATGAAGAACACGGGTAAATTCATAGAAATGATTGAAATCCATTCCCGCCAAACTGTCCCTACTTGAACCTGAAGCAGCAAAGAAACCAGGATTACCACCAATGATAATGTCAAATCCACCAAATTCTTTGATCAAAACCTCAATCTGCCGGATCGTTAGCTTCTCAACACCAGCAATCTGCCTAAGCTCTCCAGATTGTCCAGTGTTGTTCCACCATTGCTTTAAGATCTTTCTGTTGCTTTCTGATGCTTCAACCGATACAACACATCTCAGATAAATGCCAAGCCTGTACAATGCAACTTCTGCTCCACCAATCCCACTACAAATGGAGAGCAACCTCAAACCATCTGGATAAATACTCTTCAAGACTGAAAAGTGATAACCAATTGTATCGGTTTGGAAGGAGTATTTTAGTGCATTTAGCCTACCAGGCAGTTCCAAGCCCCATATATCTGTGTGATGCTTAGGGTAGCCTAAAATTTGCTCCAAATGCTCAGCCTCTAAAGGACATAGTTTGTTGGGGCCAATCCAAATCAAATTCCTATTCTTGCAGTGATGAAGAATATCCATTTTCTGTTCTTTGGAAATTACTCCTTGTGAAGACCCCATCATCCTTCCAAGTCGGTCGCAAAGCAAAGCAACTCCTATTGTTTCAGAATTTATGCAACTTAATTGCTTCCTTCTATCCCATGATGGCCACCACTTCTTTGTCTGTGGCAAGGCATCTTCAATTGTCATTGGTGGCTTAGGAATTATATGGAACCTTCCAACTGTTGGAAGATTGTGAAGATAGCCTTCCCTACGGATTAAGGCTGAAAAGAACTCGGTATTAACAAATTCTGGTTTAGTTCCATGAAGAAACTGTGAAAGTTTCCTCCAAGTGTCTTCTGAAACATCTGCAACATTTCCATAGAAGAAAAAGGGTGACTTCGACCCCATATTCTGATTGTTGCCACTGAGGTTGTGTGGCACATGATCACGTAATTCTTTTTTTAGAGTTCCTGCATCTGTTGAGCCATAAAATTCAGGATGTTCAGTACTCCCTCCACACCCAATTAATGGACTTTCAAATCGTCCTGTATTCTGCCATCGACTCAAGTACGAAGTTCCTGTGTCATCTGCATGTACAAACTTGGGTCTTTTCTGTATTTTCTTCTCCTCATAATCGTCAAAGCTACAACTTGAATGAGACATGCTTTTTAGCCAAGATTCTACTGGAGGGGAAAATTCAACCGGAGATTCCTCCTTTGCACAGCCGAGCTGCTCAAATTCATTCTGTTCTTGTGGAGAGAAATAAATGTCATCATTTGAAAAATCCTGCACAAATCACAAATAATAATGACAGAGACCAGCATATCAGCAATTTTTAATTGGATCCAAGCAGGAGATCTCAACTAAAAGCAGTAAACAGAGCATTCAAAAGTAGCTAGTTGCTTTAGAAGAGGCCTTCAGCATGCTCTTGCATTTAACAGCGTTCATCAAAATTGTGGAATTTACATAACCATTTTGCTGGAGTCACCCAGATATAAATTCTTTTCCAGCCATCTGAATGAATCGTTTCAAAAAGTATAAATCCTAATATCTGGCATCCAGCGATTAAATGATAAATCTAAGCCCATAAATCAAACATTGAATAATCTTCCGCTCTCACTAAAACTTGTAATGCATCATTCAATATTGAATTAATTCTCTAGCATTTTCTAGCCTAATATAACATTTAATCATTACAATAAATCGTCATCGGCATGCATTTCCTATATATATCACATCTCTATTCGTTCCACCAGTTGAAAGCTTTTATTCATCATGTTAACATTACTACTGACCATCAAACTTTGAAGAATCGCACTACATCATCCAAGTTACATTTTTGAGAGCAATTCATCCATCATTAGATTAGTTGAATCAATTTATTTTAAAATTAGCCGGTTTGATAGCATTGAAAATACAAATTATAACATTCAACTAGTGAACTAATAGCATGCAATTCATATGCACCTCTTCTTTAACTTGAAAAACAAGGCGACTAGCCAAAATTGAATCAGCAAGCTTATCGAGAGCAGCATCAGAACCTGAAAGAGAGCATAATCAAGCATAATTCAGTGGATCTTCTAAACCTTTATTAGAAATATTAAATTGAAGGCCGCTGCTGACCTTTTTCATTTGATTATCAGGAAAAACTTGAAAAAAGGAAAATAGAAAATAAACCACAGGATTTCTCAATTAATTGACACAAACCGAGGCAAAAAAAATGTATCCTAATTAATTTAAAGCCAAATAGACCTAAAAAGATGCATCATGACAACTCAAAATGTAAGAAACTGTATTTGACATCAGGAGTTAAAAGAAAATAAGTTTGTCCCGATTAAACATTTGGAAGTGCATGCATTATAATAAGTTAAAGATCATATCTCAAGAGATTGCTTGTATTTTAATAAGAGATGCCTTGAACATAGGCACACTTGGTTCTTCACAGGTTTTGAAAGTGGTTGCAGTTCTGTTCAAGAAGTTGACTTAATTTAGTTTCAGAGTTTTCGTGATATCCATTTGTTTTGATTGTGATCGCTTGCTTGTGTTATAATGTGGTCAGTTCTGACCCTTCATTCAAAGCTTTCTTAGGTCAATCGTGACTTCATGAATTTAGCATTATTCTGTCTACTTTGCACAAACACATGAAATATATTAAGTTTACAGAAGAGTTTAAGATTATTGACAACCTTTTACACTATGCAAAATACCAAAACATTAAAATGCCATATATTTCATTCCAAAGCAATAAAAATCAACACAATCTTCAAAAGTTGCAATATCAACTTCAAAGATTGTCAAACGATCTAAAGATGATAAAAAGCAGAGGAAGAAAGAAACCATTGTTGACTCTTCCTGAAACAGTTAATACTCCACCTAAGCTAAAGAGAACCATTCCTCATTTGAGAAGTGATAAATAATAATAAGATGTCATTCCTGCCAAACCCAAAGATATGCGTAAGCCTTAAGGTAGTGGGAGAATAAAAATATATTATTCAGATTATGACTATAACAATGAATCTGCTTATGAAAGCAAAGTATAATGCGTCTCTTCAAGGAGAAGGATTGATTTGTTAATTTTAAAAAACAATCGTGATTACTCGTCCTCCTCCAAAACTTTAAAGAGACACCCTTCAAGAGATACACAATCTAAAAGAGTTAAAAATATTCTATATCCTTCTTTTTCTTTGCAGTGGTGGATCAAAATCTTGGTTATACAAATTTAAAAATATCAAGGTCATAACTTCAATTGGCTTACTAAATATCTTGAATCGTGGGAGATGGTGCCTATGAAAATGCCCAAATATTATCCCTTAAGAATCCAATACAAACAAGAGGTTTGTGACGGAGTCGCTAAATGACAAATTTGCTATTTGCTAAGGGTATGGCATCATAAGAGCAGTCTTCATGAGAAAGTGATAGTCATGCCACTAAAGACCTTAGATCTATTTGTAGGCTCCGAAAAATCAGCCCCGGCCTCCCCCCGCATTGCGCTTTTCTTTCTTCGGGGGAGTTTTAATGGAATTAAGTTTCGAGGTAAATTTTGGAAGACAAATGGGTTTGTAGATAAGACACTACCCAGAGATTTCACCCTCATTTTGTGAGGACTTTATGATCTGAGTTCTGGTTTCTTATAGGCGCAAGCCCCTATAGTTAATTACCCCTCTGCAAGCTGATCTTTTAGTGAGATATAGTAGATACATATAAGACCACTATCTAGTTTCTCCTTTATGAAATGTCTGTTCACTTCTATGTGCTTGGTCATTTCATGTTGAACCAAATTGTGAGCTATGTTGATTACTGATTTTTTGTCATAATGTAGCATCATGGATCCTTCCCATTTGATCCTTGGGTCTTCTAGAATCATCTTGACCCATAGTAGCTCACATATTCCTAATGTCATAACTCTATATTCTGCTTTTGCACTAGACCTTGCCACCACATTTTATTTCTTACTCTCCATGTAACAAAGTTTCCTCCAAGGAATATGCAATATCCAGAGGTGGATCATCTATCTATTGATGATCATGCATAATTTGCATCAGTATATGCTTCTAGGGTTATTCCATAGTCTCTTATGAAGAGAATTACTTTACCTGAGTTTCCTTCAAGGTAGTGCTGCATTCTTTTTATAGCTTACATGTGGGTCTGCTTTGAATTTTGCATGAATTGGCTAACATGCTTAGAGCAAACACTATATCTGGTTTGGTTTGAGAAAGGTAGATCAATTTCCCCCAAGTCTCTGGTAACCTCCATTTAGATCTTTTTTAGCTTCCCACAATTTGAATATGATTCTATTAGTGTTGGTGCTGGTTTACAAGCTAGCTTACCTATTTCTTTAAGAAGATCATTCATATATTTTTATTGTGAAATGAAGATTCCTTCGATAGAGTGAGCTACTTCAATTTCAAAGAAACATTTTAATCTATCAGATCTTTGATCTCAAATTCTTTGGCAAGATATTTCCTTAGAATCACTTTCTCCTTTTCATCCTTCCTAGTCAAGATGTTATCATCCGCATAAACTAATAAAATTGTGACTTCCCTTAGTTTGAGTGCCTGAAGAATAATATATGGTCCCCTTGACTCTGCTGATAACCATTAAGTAGCATGACTCTTGAGAATTTTCCAAACCAAGCTCTAGGTGATTGTTTTAGCACATATAGAACTTTTTCAACTTGCACACATTGCCACCCTCAAATTTCTTCTTGAATCATAGTGGAATCTCCATAAATATTTATTCCTCCAAGTCCCCATGCAGTAATGCATTTTTGACATCCAGCTACTCCATATGCCAGTTTTAATTAGTTGCTAGTGAGAGCATGATCGTTACAGTGTTCATCTTGGCCACAGGTGCAAAAATTTCTTAATAGTCAATGTTGTATGTCTAAGTGTACCCTTTCACCATCAACCTTGCCTTATACCTTTCCAATGTACCATCAGCTTTGTATTTCACATAAAACACTCATTTGCAGTCAACTGATTTATTTCCTACTGGTAGGCTGATGATCTCCTAGGTATTGTTTTTCTCTAGGGCATGCATTTTAGCTTTCATTGTATTGTTCTAATTATTATCAGATAAGGCCTCAAAAATCTCATTAGGAATATGAATATCATTTAGCATAACCAAAAAATTTTTGTGCAAAGGTAAGAAGTTATGGAAGGATACAAAGTTGGTTATGGGGTACAAGGAAGGTTTTCTTTGGTGAACTTGTGTTTACCTCAATTTTAGGAGACAATTTAGATTCTTGGATCTGCTCTGGAGCATAGTTTGGACTTGTACGACTGGAATAGACTTGCCCAAACCTCATGTTATCCATAATATCTTTGTCCTCAATTTTCCTAACTTTGATTTTAGGTTAAGGTGGAGCTCAAGGGGGACAAGCTCGCTTGCCTCATTTTCCTTAGTTTCAGTCTCCGCTTGAAGATGAGATTTAGTGAAATAATGTTTTTGTTCATCAAAGGTAATATCCATTGGTGTTTTTAATCCCAAGGTTTTTGAAAGCAGTCGATTTATGATATATGTGGCAGTCAGAAGGGCTTCCCCCAGTAGGATATATGTACATTATGGTGGAATAGAAGTGCATAGATGGAGGCTAGAAGGTGACCATTTTTCCTTTATGTAATCCCGTATTATAGGGTGTGAATGCATAAAGACTTATGAATGATACCTTTTTGAAAGTATGAGGATAAGGTTTAGTTAAAGTAATATTTAGCATTATCGGAACGAAATTTTCTTTTTTTTTACTCCAAATTGATTTTGGATCATGATATGAAAAATGCGGAGGGTAATGCTAACGTCTGATTTATTTTTGAGGAGAAATATCTAAGAGATTCGAGTGCAGTTGACAATGAAGGATACAAACCATTGGGCCCTTGAGATGTTAGGAATTTTTTAGGGTTCCCATATATCAATATGAATAAGATAAAAGGGAGTATCACATCAAAAGACACTCGTTTATGTTTAGCTAACTAACAAGTTTCACAATGAAAATATTCATTTTCCAACTCATAAAAAAGTTTTGGATAAATATTTCTTAAGATATCAAAAGATGGATGTCCTAATCTAAAGTGGTGAAGCAAAATAGTAGATTTTTTATCAAATAGAGATGACATAGAATATCCAATATTAAATTTGTTCAGCTCTTCCATGTAGCACAATCCATCTCTCTCCTTAGTAACTCCAATCTTCTTCCTTGATCCTAGATTCTGAAGTAAGCAACAAGCAGGGTTACATAGGACTTGACAATTATGGTCACTAGTAATATTTTGTATGGATATTAGATTTGTGGATAATTGAGATACATGAAGCACATTTTTCAGAGTGAGGGAGGGATATAAGGGTATGTTTCCTTAGCCTGCTACTATGGTAAGAGAATCATTAGCAACGATGATTTTCTTATCACTTGGGCAATAAGTATAGTTGAAATGGGAAGTGGAGTGTGTCATGTGATTTGTGGCTGCTGAGTCAATGATCCATAAACCTTTCAAATATTTTGAGAGGCACTTAATCCAATGGATATAAGAACCTACCTGAAAATGCAGGTGATTTTTCAAGGGATACCGAGAGTTTTTCAGCTTATCAATATATTCTTTATTGAGCTCTATGAGGCTGAATTGTATTTCTAGGGTATTGCTAACCTTCAACAACCTTTGGTTTTAGCATTACCCCTTGTTGACTTTCCTCAACACGAATGAGAGAAATGATCTCATTTAATGAAGGTATCTCCTCTTTGCCAGGAATCTAAACTCGCACCTAATCAATCTCCGCATTTAATCCTGCAAGAAAGACATATACTTTATCTTTTTCACTAAAATTTTCCAAGATAACATCTTCTGGGCACGTGGTCTCTATACATTTATAGTGATCCACAAGCTTTGAAGGAGAGTGGCATACTCTGTCACAGTCTTGTTTCCTTATTTTGTGCTTCCCACAATGGCCTTAATTTCCTAAGCTTTTGAGAAAGTTTGCATGGCGGCATATCATATGTCCTTTGCAGTAGATAAAAACATAATTTCTGAAGTCATGGAATTCCATAACCATG